AAAGATGCTATAGCTAGTAGTGATGCAGTCGCCGGTATTATGGAGACAGATGGTTCAGAGCTAAGTGGGGCGGACAATCGATCGCGACCAAAGAAATCTGGTAATGAATCTAGGTCCAAGTCAAAACCTTCACTGGAAGTCAGCCCGGAAGCCTCCTCGCAACCCGCTCGCCGTCGCGGCCCTGGTCGCCCACCCAAAGATGGAATCATGTCCAAACGAGAACGTGCTGAAATAGCCCGTGAGCAGAAATTGGCTGCTAAGCGTGAAGCGAACGGCGGAGTAACGCCACCTCCTTCATCAGCCCGTGGGAAGACCGGTAAAACTGGGAAGGATTCTGGGCAGGAAGATCCTTCAAATGCAAAGGCGGAGAAACGAAAATACACGAAACGCAAGAAGCCCGATTCAACTACTGATACTGTTATGCCGTCAATTGAAGGCGGTGATGTAAATGCTATCATAGGGGTTGAGGATCTCCCCAAGCCGGCACCCCTGAAAAAGCGAAAACCATCAAGATCTCCGTCCCCTGATTATCCCCCAGAGAGCTTCTACACAAGCGAGGACCTCGCGAAGCCTCCATATAACTATGCGGTTCTGATTTTCGATGCACTTACCGAATCTAAAACCCCAATGACTTTGAAGCAAATATACCGCGCCCTGAAGCTGAAGTATCCGTACTTCCGATTTAGATGTGAAACTGAGGGTTGGACGTCTAGTGTTCGTCACAATCTTAATGGCAATGCGCATTTGTTTGAGCATGCAGAAAGGGATGGAAAGGGGTGGTCGTGGAGACTCGCGCCAGGAGCATCTGTTGATAAGGAAAAGAAGCGGAGACCATCACCCCCTCCTCCCTCACAGAGTGCCACACAAAACCTTGGGAACAATCAAACCTACCTGGCGCCAACCCGAGGTACTCAGTTCAATGCCTCCCGCCCAAGCATGCCCGAGCGCCATAACTCTCTTCCGTTCCCATACCCTCCCGTAGGGAACAATCAATCCTCCCTGGGAGGAGGTGCTCCACCGTCACATAATAGTCCCTACGCCGTGCCAAATCCTGCTGCTCAATTTTCGCTTCCCAATGTATTGCGTAATAATCTCCCACCATCGTTTGCAGCTCCTACTACCTCGACCTACCGATCACCGTACGCCTCAGCACCACCACCGGAAATATTACAAGCGCAACTGCAGCAACAACAGCAACAACGCCCCCCTCCGCCTCCGCTACCACTACCGCAAACACAGCAGCAACAACAGCAGCAGCATCGACCGCCTCCCCCTCCTTCGTCTCAGCCGCAGCAGCTACAGCAACCACCTCAACAGTCCCATCATCCCCAACAACCGCCACATCAAAACCAACAGCAACATCAACCCCACCCTCAACCCAACCCTCAAACTAACCCTCAACCTCCTCAACCTCAACATCAGCCTCAACATCAACCACCACCGCCGCCGCCGCCACCACAGCAGCAGCAGCATCGACCCCCTCCCCCCGAACAATACAAATTCCTCAATCACACCCTCCTCCCCCCCCAAAATACCCTACCTCCTCCCACTAATAACTCTGCTCCCAAATCCCCTTCACTTCCTAATGCGAATCCCCCTCAACCGCAATACCACCCTCAGGCCCAACCTTCCCCTTCAACCCAACATCCTCCCCATATCCACAGTCAACAACACCAGCATCAACCGTCACCAGCACCACCAGCATCAAATCAAACACCCCAGCCTCCTCCATCGCCTCCAGAGCCTGAACCGTCATTCCTCGACCGAGCAAACCAAGCCATCGATAACTTCGAAGCAGTACTGATGGAAGACTACGAAGATAAAGAATACATCTCTAAAGTCTTACGAAGTGCTCGCGACCGCGTGCTCAATGGTGCGACGGAAAGCTCGTTCCCCGGTGGAGAGCCAAAGGATGAATCCGTCATCATTGATGCTTTGAAGGGAATAATCGCAGGCTTGAATGAGGAATGATTTTTTTATTTCCCTTTTTTCTTCCTTTTGGTATTGGTGGATCCACGCGCTTGCGGTGACTCTTTCCCCCTCCCCAATCCGTACTTTTTTGCCCTTTTTTTTATTTTTTTTTATTTTTTTTATCAAGGGATTTTTGGAAACGGCCTGTACATAACTAATGATCTGTTACGTTTCGTTCTCCTTCTCCTATTTCCCTTCTTCTCCCTTCTATCTATCTACCATCGCCTTGACGCACTTTGCTCCGGCCCTTTTGCTGGTTTTTCATCCGCCTCTGTCTCAATCTTCATTAACCCCCATTATATCTTTCTACTGTTTCATCTTTCATGTTTCCTCTCTTTTTCCTTCTTATGAACGAATGAGAAACGAAGGGAATGAATCTCATATATCGTTGGCTTTTGTCTTTTTTCTCTTTTTCTATTATTCTCTTTTCTTTTATCTTTTTGGGTTAAGGTAATTTTTAACGCTAGGGCAAAGGCTGGCTGGGTTGGGAAGCGGAGCACATTGCAACGGAGAAAGAAGCGCTGGTTTGGTTTTGGATTGGTATTTTTTTTTTCTTTTTCCACATGCATTAGACGGACTAAGACAACCTGAAGCATGATTAATTTATTTTCGTTCATGCCTCTTCTTCCGTCTTGGTTTCGTTTACTCTTTTTCTTTTTTTCTTTTTATCTTTTTTGCTATCATGTCTCGCCTGTTATTTATTTTGAACTTCAAAACGCATGGCCCGTTTGCTACCACAATACAGCGCCTTTTTATTTAATTCTTTTTTACATTTTTTTAAGACGTAGTTACGTTGTGTAGCTAGATGAGATCTAGGCTATTAGATTGGAGAGAAAGGAGGAAAATATAACAAGAAAAGAAAAGGGCGCCGGGAGAATAATGGTTAACCATCCATCTCGTCATTATATCCATGATTTGAGCAATAAAAAGAGGAAAGAAAGGAAAAAAAGGAAAAATGACATGTAAAGTAAGGCTAGAAACAGGAAAACCGCAAAATCGGCAGCAATACAAGGGCGGGAGAGGTAGCACAAAAGCAGGGAAAAAAAAAAAAAGAAAAAAAGAAAAAAAAAAAAAAAAGAAAAAAAAAAAGAAAAAAGAAAAGAAAAGAAAAGACCCCATACCATACATAGTATGGGTTCGACCATGATAGATGTATGTAAATTGGAGAAAAGGGGGGTGTGGATATAGATAGAATTTGTGTCGCTGATTGATGGATGATGAGGATGATGGCACGAGTTACAAAAAGTAAGTGCATTATACCAAACATCGAGGCAAGTGGGTAAATTCGGCAAGAGGGTTCAAAAGCGGGAAAAAGACAGACAGACTGACTTACAATAGGATGTGAGATTCTGGACGAAGTGTAATGGTCTTGTTCCACCCACCCCCTGCCCCCGAATGCGCCCGTTGAATAACAAGAGGCAAATAGTTTATTTATCTTTTACTCCCATTCCCATTTCTCATGATAGCACAATTAAAAATAAAAAAAACGGAGCGTTTCTGTTGCACGTTACATCGCCATCTCCGCTCGCAGTTTCTCCAGCTCCGCTTCCTCGTCGTCCTCTTCTGGGGTGGCTTTTTCTTTGCCCTTGACTATAAGCGCAACGACATGTTAGTCCTCGGGTGTTTTTTAATAAATAGATTTTATCAGGGGCATAAGACGCCCATGATTTGAAACGGTTAAATGGTGACTCACGTGGTCCATTTGCGGCTGCAGGTAAGGTACCCAGTTGATCTGCGACTGGCACAGTCCCACCCTTGAGCATTTGTTCGTCTATTTGTTGTTGTTGCATCCCCTCGAGTTCTGCCTCCAGCTCGGATTCGTCTAGTGGATCGCCTAAAGGGGTACTTGTTATAGCGGTTACGATCTCTTCGCTGAGTGCGTGTTGTTCTCGTAGTTCCTCCCTATTGGTCCCAACTATATTAGCACCGCTGCTACTCTTTATAGACAACTAGGTTTCCCGTGTGCAAGCAGCCTGCAAGAAAATATGAATAAATGATCAAGGTAACGTACATGGTCTCATCTACTTTCTCGATCGTAAGCCCGCTGTGGATCTGTTTCATGGCCTTTCCAGCATTCTTCATTGCGAGGAGGGTTTCTTGGTTAATATTCGCCGCCTCGATAGAGGATATTTGTTGTTCAATCTGAATTATCTGCGCGTTTGTCTGTTCGAGGGATTTCTCATGGACTTTCTTCCGTCTTAGGGCAGCCTTTGCAGCTATATTCGTAAAAAGAATAAGTATTAGTGAGAAGGGCTATTCTAGTTAATTATTCGTACCAAGCTCCGCAGTTGAGAAACAGGCTCCCTCTGTCGAAGCGGGGTAGGGATTTGACCCTCCCCATCTGATTGGATAACATACCATTTTTATTTGTAGCAACATGCTTCCGGGCTAGAGCATCTTGTTCTGCCATTTGGTTCTCCAAAAATGACTCTCTTTTCTGAAGCATATCGAGTTGTTGGCGCAGGGAAAGGATGGCATTTTTAGGCGCATCCTTCCGCTGCTGGGCAGATCCGCCGCCAAACCACGACCACATGGTGACGGTCAAAAAAGCAGCTGGCTAGGAAAGCTCTGAAAAAAGTGGCTCACAAGAGGTTGTAGGACAGGGGGGCTGTGGAATAGTGGTTATAGATATGGGCGTGGAACCTTGGCTTTCGGATGCAGGCGCTGCGATAGGTATCAAAGTTGGTAAATGCGGGATGGTAGAGTGGTTAGGCGGCAGAATGAGAGTAGGAGGCGGGATGATAACGGGAAGGGCTAGGAAACCATATAGAGTGGAGACTTGAGTAGGATAAACGACGGCAACAGTTTCTAGGGAGAGATACGCAGAGGTATGGCTGTGCTGGTCGGCCTGTTGGTTGCGGTGAGTCGGCTAGCGAGGTTTCGGGATGCGGGCGGTGGTCGTGATCGTCTTCGTCTGGTGTGGTGAGGCTCTAAGCTATCCATGACATGCGTAGTAACATCACGTGCACAACTCTATTTGAACGCCCGCCCTTGCTTATGTCAGCTCCTTATCAGCTCTTCCATCTAAGATAGTTGCAAGATGATAGAATGATAGAATGTTTACAAAGTGGAACACAGGCTTATAAATATATCTCCCTGCTTCACGGAAGTACCAGTATGGAATTGGACAGAATGGATTTTCCTCTATTTGCCCTGCTACCATGAGCCAAGGCCCCGCCGGCCCGCTCCCTACAACACGGGCCTTTCTCTCAGAAATCCCCAGCCTGCCGCCTGGAGCAAAGATACGCTTTCTCGGATGGTGAGTTTATTTTTTTTATTTTTTATTATTTTATACTGGAAAGATATCATGATGGAATTGAAATAAACACCGCAATTTTCTCTCTATGCTATAACAAACAATCGAAATACCCCTTATTCAAAAGCTTCCAGAAAACCTCCCATCTCTCTCTCTCTCTATATATATATCTATATATCTACACCCTTACTCCGTACGTAGTATACAAAAACTAACAACCACCCCTCTTTTCTCCCTACCAGCGTCTCCTCCTACAACCCCTCAACCGGCCATCTCACCCTAGAACATAACTACCCTCTCACATCCGGGCCGACCCCCGCCCCCTCCTCCATCGCAGTAGACGTAACTCTCCTCCTAGAATCTCTCACAGCAACCGATCTACAAGTCGGCGCCTGGCTGAATGTGCTAGGCTACATACGAGAGCGCCACCGGCCCTCACCTACCACCACCACCACCACCACCACTACTACTACTACTACTACTACTACTAATAATAATAATAATAATAATAATAATAATAATAAGGTGCTTCCGTCCGCCGCGGACCGCAAATGGTCGACAGCGGTAGCAGCTAGATCAATTTACGTGGAAGCCGTGATGATCTTTTCGGCCGACGCTGTGCAGCTCGGCGAGTACGAGCGCGTGCTGCAGGAGTGGGAGGAGGCGGATAGGAGGGTGGAGCGGCCTGGGTTAAACTGGCGGAAAGCGACGGGGACGGGACGGGATGGGGAGGGTGCGAGGAGGGTTTTCTTATAGTATTTTGCGTCGGGTGTTTTTTTCTTTATGGGAATGTATTTTCTTTTCCCGGGGGGGAAGGGGGGCGGAGGGAAGACGTATATTCCCATTTCCCCACCGCCTGACAACAAGAAACGAGCGAGCACTTTCCTTTTCTCCCTTCTCCCTTCTCCTTGAGGGGTCCGCTGCCCGGCCCTTAATCCGAGCTGAATTTTTCCCTCCTTCGCTCCTCTCAGATTGACGACGACGAAACGGTGCATGAAGATATGAAGATGCGTCTTCATCGATCCCGATCTCCTATCGCAAAACACACGCTGGCACGCATCCCCGCTACAATCTTGCTCCAGGAAGATAGAAAAGGGAATATTAATAATAAAATTATAAAATCTATGTTGTATTTAGTGATATTCCTTTCTCTCTCCTCCCTCCAACCCCCCCTATATACTCCTAAACTAATTTGTCCAGAAGATTTGAAATCCAAAACGCGCATCGATGCAATATGTATATATGCAAATAGAGTATAGCCAGAAAATATACCCAAAAATGAGAAAGAACGCCATGTCTGATGCAAAAACTAAAAGAAAAGGATAAGATGGGGTTCCACTTTCAAACCACTTCCTTCTCCACCACCCCGCCACCTTCTTCCTTACCGTCCTTCTCTTTACTCCCACCGTTCACAATCCTCTTCCGCCTCTTCCCATCCAATTTCGCCTTATCCGCCTGCATAGTCTTAATAAGCACGCTCTTCATCCGAATCCTGTGTCCGTACTTATAAAACACAAACGGAATCGGAATAATCATAATTTCCAACAGGCCCAGGAGTGTGCTCGCCCAATTGGGACCTAGCTTCGCATACATCGCCGGCCCAGCAAGCGGAAGTACACCGCCAAGCACACTTCTCATCACCGAATTCCCAGCCATCGCTGACGCGGCGTACACCCCGTAGCTGTGCGTTAGGTAGTTGGATGCGTAGATGAACACGGCAGTGTTGCCCGCGCCGAACGGGATGCCAGCGAGGATTGGTGCGATCCAGTGAATTGTTGCGGGTGCGCAGGTCCATGCGAACCAGAGCTCGCCGGCGGGGATTAGGATTGCGGCAATGCAAACGACGGAGACCATGGATTCTGGAGGCACTTTGCCCGTCTCTGGGTCGAGTTTGTGGCTGTTTATCATGCGGCGGAGGAGTGGCTCGACAGCCACGGTTGTAAGGGAACCCACGCCGATGCCGAGGAAGGCGAGGCCCGATTCGCCGACGGACCATCCGCGGATTTGACGAAAGACGATTGGGTACGCGACGAAGCAGAGGTAGAGGATTGCATAAACGACGGCGATGTAGAAATTCCAGAATATGCTATGGGGGGGGTGGCTTGTTAGTGATGGGGCCCGGTTCCCATGGTGTTTGGGGGTTTATAGAAGGGGAGTATCATACCAGATAGGCTCAAGGACGGCCATGACGAATGGTCTGCTGAGGTTGACTTTAAGAACGGCGGTTATGGACGCTTTTTGATCGTATCGGCTCCACCAGCGGGGATCATCATCCTCCTTTCGAAGGCGGGCGGCCTTCCTTTGGAGAAGCACTGGAGTGTATGTTTCCTTCATGATGCACATGAAAATCAATGCTACCCCGGCAAAAATCATCGTCAGCCAATTCGTCCATCTCCAGCCTAGGTATTGCGTTACGTATCCGCCAATGATGGGACCAAACACTGCATTTCTCTATGTTAGCAGGAATAATGTTTTGAAAAATGAATCTCAGGATAGATATTAACTCGAGTTAAAACTTACCAGGTCCATTCAGGGGCCCAATACTCCAAATGGAGAACGCCAACGCGCGGTGTTCATCATCCACCATATCAGCTATTGAACCGGGGGCACTGGAAACCATAGCACTTCCGGCCACAGCCCCAAGGAACCTCAGAACAATCAGTTGAACAACAGAGGTGCAAAGTCCGCATGGTATGATCAGCACGGTGAACAGAAACATGCTCCCGACCGAAACAGGCTTTCTGCCGTACATCTCACTCAGCGGGGCGAGGATAACGGATCCAATGGCGAGCCCAATGAGGTAGAAAGTCAGGCCAAGCGTCACTATGGTCTCTGAGACATCGAATTCCCTGGCTATGTCTGCCAGCCCTGCAGTGTATCCGGTCGAATATAGGACTCTATATCAATTGCAACAAATAATTAGATATGGGAGCTCTAAACCTAGCAAAAATAGAGAGGGGGGGGGGCGTGGGGGGAGGGACAAAAGAATAGGAAAACCCTCGACATCCACCACTTACACCGTGAATGTACTCCACGAAAGGAACGCCGTTGACATTCCTTTAACCCTCAAGGGCCAATTTCTGGGATTTGTAGGGTCATTCTCTTCCATGTCGACTTCAAAATTGGGATCTGTGGTACCAGTCGTGCCGACTGAGGTGATCTTTCTCGACAGCGGCGGCATCGAATGCCTTGTAATCTGAGGAGTGATAATATCATCGTGATCCTCCGCTATAATCTCTATGCTTTTATCCGAAGCCGATTCGGCACTAGAAGCGGCCGAGTCAATGCCATCGTGCTGCTGAGATTCTCCAACAAAGCTTTCTGCAGGGGTCGAGCTCGACTTCTCGGAGTCGGACATGGGTTAGATATATAATAATGAAGCTGGCAGCGGAGGGGTTTTCCTGTAGAGGAGAAACTGAGAGCGAGCAGGCGTTTATATCGCAATGGGTCTAGGGTAGTGTAGTATGGTCCCAACGACGGAAGCGGCGAGCGGAACAGGTCACTGATCAAGCAGGAAAGCTCCGAATGGGATTGCGCTCAACCGATGCATCAGTCGGGGGGATATTGTAATAAATTATAATCGCTATGTAGTATAGCTAGTAATAAAATGGGGGGCGGAAAGGATGAGCAGCTCAGATTGGTGGAGTATACGTAGTATATCAACATATAAAAAATAACGTTCAGCAGCTTATCCCAACCACAAGAAATGAAAACAAAATAGGTAAAATAAAGAGTAAAATTAAGAAACGAACGGCAGTCGCGAAAGGGTTTATAACCATTTCCCACGATTTCAGACGCTTACTAAATAAAAGACCTCTCCTCAAAACCGATTATTCGCAATATTTTTTTTAATTTCGATTCTCCTCCTTCACTGTTCCCCCAAAATATTCCCAGGGCCGCTGTTTAGCCTAGGCTTCTTTGCAGTTCCCACTCCTCGAGGATTAGCCGAACAGTCTAAAAAAAAAAAAAAAAAAAATAGCAGACAGCACCATCCCCACCCAGCGAGAGGGGTTCGCTCATGGATTCATGGGGCTTAGCCCGCGCGCGCAGCCAGTAAGAACGACCGCATCGCCGGGAAAGGCGAATTCCAAGCGTGTCCGGCGCCGGTCCAGTGTCTGGCGCACCTTTTAGCCTGGAGCTAGAACCTAGGAATGAGATCTCGGCAGCAGTGGTGGCCGAAAAGAAGGATCAAATGTATGGAAGTTTCACGGTAGAGTGAGTGAGTGTTTCTATTCACGTCTTTCTCGACTGCTTTGTCCCTCAAGACTGACGTTCTGTGATAGTTATTTTACCTCAGATACCCTGAGCGGAGGCGGGGGAGATTGAGGGAAAACATGAATCATGATGGCCATCCCGAGTCTCTATTCCGAAGATATCGAAGTAAAGGAATTTAATATGGAACCATGGGACCGACCACAGGGGCATCGGCACAGCGAAAGGGTGAAGGGGGTGAGCCAACCAACGTTGTTGCATCCATGTGTCCGTGTTGTTGATTTGTATCAGGCTTCTTCTTTTTGGCCATGGCATGGCGGGATGGTGAGAAACAAGCCACGGAGATTATTTAATATTACTAATGATAGTTAAGGCGTGATGGAAATATTTCCGCCGCCAAGCAAGCAGCATATAACTTAAACATAGCGGAGGATAAAACCCAAGGCGCGGGGTGCATAACCAACATAACCAAACATAACTATAAGAATAATAAATGGTAACTCTACGGGGTACCTGGATTGGTTCAGCGGATAACTCTATTATATTATTACGAGAACATTGCCTCCGCGTACGGAGTTAACTTCTACTAGTAGTAACCACGCAGTCAGTCGGTAGTAGTTAGATAGCAGTAGAGTAGTAGTAGTAGTAGTAGTTAGTAGTTATTAACTTACTCAGCTCAAACGATTGTGCTGGATTGCCGGCGGGCTTGTCTTCCGCTTTGGGCATAGCTAGCCCTAATTCATTTTTATATCCTTAACAAACTACGTAGTACATGTGAAGAATCTAAGTATCTTTCGTATATGTTGTTAGGTCGCTACAAGCTCTAAACTCCGCCGCTAGATATGACGACGATACTAACTTATTATAAAGATTAATTCTCCGAAATATAAACCTTTCCTCCTCGCCATTATTAATAATTGCTTACTTTTTTTTCACATCACCCAACTCTTTTGTTTTGTTTTGTTTTGCCACAGGAAGCTCAAACGGGAGAAAACGTCAGTTCGCACTCCAAACATTTATTTATTCACAAAAGAAAACACATAGTTATAGAAATACAAATTCTTACGGCCGAATTTAAGTGGTCTTAGCAACACGTTTCTCTTAACACCATGCATCGTAAATGCCTCGGTGTGGCGCTCGCTGGTCCTTCATTTGCTCCTTACGCACGGGAGAACCTCGTGACGTATGGGGAGGACGTAGCCTTTGATTGACGACGCTTGGCTTACAAATGAATCTTCAAAATCGAAGCGGATGGGGTTGGTCTTTTTTTCTTTTTTTTTTCTTCTTTTTCAATAATAGCTACGGAGGGAGCTTTCGTGTTATAACCCGTGCAGCTTCCCCCCCCTTTTGATTAGGGCGGGAGAGAGGAGGAAAAAGGGGGATAGGGGGAGGGGAAGTGGTAGTATGAGTAAGTAAGCGGTCCCGAAGAAGGGCAAAGGTGCAGGTTGTAGGAGGGAATGTAAAATTAAGTACCAACTGTAACTATTATTATATTGATTATCGTCTTTCATCATCCTTGCAGACAGCAAGAGCAAGGTAGATAGATAGATACAAGAAAAGAGAAAAAAAAAATAGAAAAAAGAGAAATTCAACTATCGATGAAATAAAGAGAGGAATCCGCATGACGACACAAGATCGGGGTATTATTAACTGTACGATGAAACGACAGGTCAAAAAAAGGGGAACTTTTTACATGCATGTTTGAAAACACGTGTGAAGTAAAAAAAGACGAGCAAGTGGGAAAGAAGAAGAACGAGAAAATTAGCCATAGCACAGAGAGAAATGGAAAACATGCAAAACGGCATCATGATACGGAAAACAAAAATCATTATGACGCAAAGGATAAAAAAGAATAAACCGACCAACGCCCGCATGCATGCAAAAAAAGAAACATAGCACAAATACAAAACCATGCACACAATAGATATACCATATTAGCTATGACCGCATATTAAAAGAGAAAAAAAAAAAAAAAAAAAAAAAAAAAAAAAAATAGGGGAAAAGAAGTTCAATCCTTATTAATAACCCTCAAACTCCGCCGAGGATTCAACATCACCCCCAAAAACGTCGGCTCCTGCCCAGCAAGCAGGTCGTCCGTACTGCTATACGCACTCCCCAACCCCCCAGCGGGTCCGCTGGACGGTCGAAAATCTCCCGTAAACCCGCGATAGCCCGGCTGCGTCCCTCCTCCCGCCCCAAAGGCAGCAGTTACGTTCGACCCGGTCTCGCTGAACGACATGTGCCGTGCGCTACCAGTATTCTCAGAGGAAGAGAGAGGAACGAAGGAAGCTCCGAATTTGTCGCCGTTGAGCGCGATGCGACTGCTGGTTGGCGAGCGCTGGACGGCGGCGATGTGGCTCTTGTACAGCGCTAGCTGGCGGCGGTAGACGAAGATGCAGAATCCGAGATAGATGGCGAGGATGAATAGGCACCCCGCGACAACGCCGGCGGCTATGGCCGCTACGTTGGGTCCTCCCCCCCGGCCCTGGCCCGGTAAGCTGGTGTGGGTGGTTACGGAGCCATCCGGGTTCGTCACGGTGTATGTGATGGGTTTCCCTGTTGCCATGGGCCCTCCTGTGGCTGCCGTTGCGGGTTTAGTTACCGTTGCACGCCCCTGGTCATCGCCGCCGATGACCTTTTGGACGGCCTTGGGGACCTTATAGCCATAGCTACCGCTCAGGCCTCTCATGTCATGCTTTTGGGAGTCTTGTTGGTTCAGGTAGTTGGCCCCTTCCAGCGCAACGTATTGCGTTTTCCATTGTAATGTGGATGCGTCGAAGATGTAAATGCCGGGACTGTCGCAGGTCAGGTCTTGCCCCACGTAGCCGCCCATCACGATGATTTGAGAATTCCAGATATTGCACGTGTGTCCTGCTCGGGCTGGGGGAACGGACTGGCCATTCGTGTTGACTTTGATCCACGTGAAGCTGGGGATGCTGAGGATCCACATGTCGTCGTACTGGATCTGTTCTCCATACGGAATTAGGTTTTGCCCAGCATATAGATACACCTGAGTGCTGCTTCCATCTGCTGCGGACGCAGCAACTGCGCACGGATTAACTCGGATCGCTGGCGTCTCTCCGCTTGTTGCTTGTTTGTACCACATGGAAGTTTCAATGTCATAGACATCGATAACATTCATTTGGGTCTATTAGTCAGAGCAGTTAGCGAGCTGGTTTGTATGAACATAACAGACTATCCACATTGGGGGGATTTTAATATAACACTTACGAATGTCGCATTGGTCCCACCAGCCAGACCCAGAATAACCCCATGTTTTCCAAATCCAGGCACATATACCAAGACTCCATCAGCCCTTTCAGTAAATCCGGCAGATTCTTGGAGTCCACCCTCGGTGATATTTCGCCAGGCACCATTCGATCCGGCAGGTTTATCTCCTTTTAAACTTTCTACATCGTTGTTCATAAAGCCAGGGAACGTATACTCGATGAACGACTTCAGATATACTCGTGGGACGGAGAGGTCCCAGCCCTCAGTCGTGTATCCATCCAAATGCCCTCCAAAATAGAAGCCCCTTCCCAACTCCAGAACCGTAATGCCTGCGCCTTCCGCAGACCGCTGAACAGGCCGATCACCGGCATTGGAATTGCTCCCCCGAGAAGTACGGGGATTTTTATGTTCCTTCCAGCTCGACGACGGAATGTGGTACTCCCATAAACTGAATGCCGTAGGGAAGTCCCGTGGATTATCGGAGTACTCTCCGCCATATAGATACAAGGATTCGAGGGAATTCCAAAGGTATCCGTTTGACACTGGTGGGGGCCCGGATAGTCGGGGGAGGCCGGTAAGTTTGGGAGCCGATATATCCCAAGTGGTTTTTAAATCGAGGGTCATAAAGTCATTGTCTATTATCATCAAAACGAAACGGTTAGCAGAACACATTTCCGAACAGTGAGAGATATAGTTATCCACCTTGAGGATCGGAATTGCATGTACATACTCCACGTGTTATCTTTTTGACTTGAATCGGTCATGGACCGTCCTCCAAAACTATACAGTGTCCCATTGACCACTGCTGTTTGTTGAGACCATCGCTTGCAAATATCCGTCGGTGTATCCTCGCGCCTAAAGATCCTGTCTCTACCCACCCGGTTATATATTCGATCCGAGCTCGGTGTCGCAGCCCTCGCCGCCACACCCATCACCCCGACCCCGTAAGAATGGTCATTATGAACAAGGAAATAAGTAAAAAGCGCGAAAGAAAGAAACCGCAGCGACAATCGAGGCATCGATAGATGGGAAAGGAAATAAGCGAGAGGCATCATCTATCATCGGGAATACAAAATCCCCTGGGGTATCCTATCGAAAGAGTCGGATTCTTGAATCTAACCCGACCACTGATTACTAGTTACTATATTAGTATGTTCGCTCTCGCTCAGTTACTCATCACCCAACGCAAAAAGAAAAAACAAACCCCGGAAAGTTCAAACAAATCCAATTATTTATTGAATAATAAAGAAATCAGAAATGTAAGGATATTAGAGGAAGAGGAGGAGGGGGGGGGGGGGTGGAAAGAGCGAATAAATGTTGAATGTCCCAGGTCTGAGAATGTCTCACTCTCCGCCGGCCTCCCAAGTCGACAAAAACCTAGGGATTGTGCCGGGATTGGCCAGTAGCTTCAAACGGCCAAAAAAACGCTTGACCTGACCGAAACGGGACCGTGTGATCACCGATCAGAAAGTAATAATAATAATAATGAGAGTAATCATGAATAATAGTCTCTGGAGTTGGCATAAAGAATCTGAACGGATAATGGAGTAAGCCAACGTACAACCGCCGAAATTCTGTATGTATCGTCGTCCGTAGGTTGAGAAACAAAGAAACTTCTTCCATGCTACTCCGTACATCGTAGGAATAGAGGAGTTTAACCAGCCGTTCCTTGCTGACTCCCCGCAGCAAGATACGTAACGCGCCAACCGGCAGCGCTTGGCAAGTCGGCAATAAACAGTATATTCCCAAGCAATTGGTTCGTCTTCGTCCGGCATCATCATGCACTTTGTTGGTGGATTCTTTAACTACCAGGATGTTGCTTGAGCAAAACGAACGCAAGGACTCGCAGGTGGTGGTGAGGATCCTCGGGGCTCGAAACCATATCACGTGATGTAGACACAGAGATTGCCGGCTCAAATCAGTTCCACAGTTGTTTGTATGGCTTTTTAAAGCATAAAAACTCTCTGAACAGGGGAAGGAGGTGTACATTGTATGTATGGACTAGTACCTGTACCTACCTAGGTTAGACGCGCGATGTTTCAATTGAAAGGGGAGCGAGTTTAATTTGATCTAAATATAAATACACTTTCTCTTAAGTTAACTTACCCCGCCAACATCTGTACGGACTAGCTACCTATAACTTACTCCGTACTTCTTACAAGGGCTTGATGGATAACTAAAACATGTGGCAGAAGTAGGCGAGCTTTGGCCGCTTCGATTTCCCCGAGAATTCACGGGATCGCTGCTTTAAAACCCATTACATTGTAATTTGTTGAAGCTCGTTCTTAAAAACAGGGCGATAAACTACTTAGCTTATTTGGTTCTTGTATGCTTATTTTCAGGCCGGCGCTAGCTTAGCGGAGCCCAAACTTTGGTCTGGAAGTCTAGAGTCAAATGGTTGGTTGTTATGCAACCGTCCCTGGAATAATAATAATAATGTTGTTCACTCCTTTTGCTACGAAGAACAGAAGTTTCGATTTGAAACTTATTACTGCGTACTAGTTTTATCAATCCCAGAGAAAGCATATATGCCATCGAAGCTACTTATAATATTAACAGCAATTGGAAGGTTAATTAACAAGGAAACTCAATTTCGGTTTCTGCATCCTTTTCTTTCCTTCTCTTTCTTCTTTGACGGTTATATATTCGCCGATTATATTGCAAACTGAAATCGCCCCCCCCCGCTTTGAAACCAATCTAAAGTCGGGCGAGATTGCCAGTGACTCGTGAGAATCTTTCAGATCCAGTGCAGCTACCGGAATACACAAAATCCTCCGCAGTAGGGACTGCACACTTTTCACCAATAAGAAGCGCGGTCTAAGTTATTCTACAGTCGCGCAAAAGTTAGCATCGGGCGTATGTGACTAGAAAGGGAAAGAGAAGGGACAAGGACGCCGGAGGCATCCCTACACTGGAATAATGTCAGGAGATACGGAAAGCTTCAGCCCCTTCATGCCGTCGAGACCATTCCGATGGACGGGAATAGTTAGAGAGAAGCTGTGATCGAATGCAGCTTCACGTCACGGGGAGATATGCCAGGGCGATAAAACCCTTCTCAAATAGAAAGAGCTTCAATGAGGTGCACATGAATATTACAATCCAGGTTGGTCAGGCTGCCAACAGGGACGCAAAACGGACCTCCCTCCTCGCGGTAGATCAATTTGAATTAGAACCTGCGGAAGGAGGAAGAGGAGGGGGGGACCGGGGGGGTTGATATCCGTGCCCGTACTAATAGACCCCTAGACCCCGCTCTCCGCATTATCGGGAGTGGGAGATAATATTTCGTCGTATTCTATATGATATATAATAAAATCTTTGTGGATGCAAAGCTAATTGAAAAAAGAGCAAGGTAGGTAGTAAGGAGTTCAGGAGTTAGGTTCCAATCGTCTAGGGCTAGCGGGATAGTTAGTCATAAAGTCATAAGAAACGCAAACTTCTTCCAATGAAGTTCCTCTCCACCATTGGAAACTTTTGAGGGGGGTTCGAATGAGAAACAATATATGAGAAACTCTATATATTGAGGTGAAGGGGAAAGTAGTAGTGCTGATTTCTGGCAAATGTGGGGACGATATGGTCATGGCGGTTCAGAAAAATAAAAAATAAAAATGAAAATAAAAATAAAAAGAATTCATTTATAGAGTAGGATGCCATTGAAATGTGAAATCTTAGTTTTAAATGGAATTGATATAACCGTTGGCACCTTCTGCCCTAGGTTAGAAAGATGGGAACTGACTAATGGACATAATATTGTTGGAGTTTTTATGGTAGTTTGGCGGTCATGTGTGGACAAGGTGAATGACGAGCAAACCCGCTCGGTCCGTCGCGCCCTCTAAGGAACAAAATGCAGGGCGTTATCTAGGTAGCTGGCACTCGTTGACAATGTTGGACGACATATGAAGAATTCCAGACTTTGATATAGCATCCGCTCCCATCCTTCCTCTCGGGATGTTGTTCAAGAGTTATATCCAAATATTGTGTAGGGCCCAAGCTCCCTTGTTTCTCCGCTCGAGACACGCATTCGTATAACCGACTAAGGCATTTGCCCTGTGAATAGATAGTCGTTTCCGAGGAAAGTTGATAAAACTGGTCTTGTACTGACTCGGGTGATGAACGGGTAAACGCAAATGCTCGCTGAAAACCTGCTGCAGCCAATCGCTCTTTACCCGTTAGACTTTTCACGAGTCATGCATGCCAATGCGCCCGTTCAGTTTTGTATGTATTTCCCATCAAAATCCTTGGCGCTTATTTTTTATATTTTCTCGGGCAGCGGCTCGACCCAAATTCTTCCTTGATAGGACTAACGCGTACTAGGAGAGGCTCGGGAGAACCAACTAATTCCGCCAGAGCTGTGTTTCCAAGGACTCTTGATATATAGCGTAACGAAGATCCTGGGAATGTGCATCCATTATTGCATCTGGACTCCTGATAGCTGGCGTCTCCGCTCAAGAATGTCCTGCCGAAGCTTCTCCGCTGCCAATTCCACATCGATTATCCCACTCACTCCTCGTTTCCAAGCATCCTCCAACCCGACAAGCTCGCCCCTTGCTGTCTCCTGCCTCATTTTCCTCTCTTTATGGACGGCATCTGTAGCTTCCTTCGTTTCCTGCAGTTCTTTTTCAATCCGTCGTAGTATATCCTCCAGTTGCGAGTTACCGATAAGCCACGCGTTCTTTCCGTGTGCCTCTAGTAGAGCTAGATTTTCCTGTCTTGTGGATAGATGAGAGCTGGCAGTGTACGCTTTTCGTAGCGTTTGTTGCCAGCAATGTAGGATCTCCGCAGGTTCTTTCCCTGACGCCAGGGTGTCCTCTGGAGCCTCCGGAGCCTCGTATCTCGACAAGTCAATGCCGCCCGTTAGAGGCAGGTTCGCCTCCTTTCGGTCCAGTTCCTTTTGCATGAGGCTGGAGAATTGACTTTGGGGTAGAGCGGGGATGGACGGGTGGAGGACTGTTTGGTGATTGGGAGCCATTTCAGCGGAGATGAGTTTGTCAATATCGGCACGAGCCTGCGCCGTTGGGTCACCATCAATGTCTGGCCAAGTGTTAATAAACCATGAAGCCGTCGATCGCACGGGGAGGAGGATGATCGCGACTTTAGCAACTTACATGGTAGGGAGTCGTGGAATTCGTTTATAAGAGGCATTTTCCTGTTGTATACTTGGTGGTTGAAGCCCTGAAAGTCTCCTCCGGTCTGTGTGTTGAATGGTTTGGGGGAGATAAGCAATGCTGTAGTTACACCACATCGCAAGAATAGATATCACGTGATTACACTAAATTCCCTCCTTGTACCACCTAGGCAAATTTAGTATGTGAGGGTACCTGGGAGACAAGCAACACAACCATGTACCCTTCCACACTAAATTAGCCTGCTGGTACATGTACATATAGTTACAAGCCGAACCGAGCTACATGGGTTCCTCCATATCACAATAATCTTTGGCAGCTGCGAGTCTTTGAATCTTTCTGATATTTTCATGATTACCCCGGCTTCATGGCAAGGCGTGGCACATGTTTATCTCGAGTTGCACTCTAATTCATCGGCAATTGGCCCCTTAGAGTTGCCTGTACTCGGCACATCCTGCTCGTCGGTTGCGATGCTAGCACCGGGGATGGGGAAACAGTTGGCTTCAACATGCCATTTGACAGGCAAAACTTCCCCAGATTTCATGTCCCGACGGCGATCATCCTTCAGTAGTCGCTGGTTTGGCCCTGACTACCGTGCGCGAAGATGGCCAGCTCTGGTGCTACCAGTGTTTGTCCACCGCAACAGGGAATTCTAAATCCTGATTGATCCAAAGTAAGCTCGCTTCGAGATTCTTTGGCGGGGAGGAACCTCCATCATGTGGCCCTCATCCACTCCGCAGGAATCCAAACGCGCCCTTCAACCGCAGCACCAAGCGTGAATAGTTGCATTGCCCCTGAAATATTTACTCCGGATCCTGAAGGGTCTCATGCCCTGCTCACACGATGTGGGCCATATATAAGTAGAACCCTTTTCGCTGTACGACCACGCTACAAACCCCGAGGCAGGGCCTGCTGTCCGACATTCCTGCGTCGCTCTGAGTCTTTGAGCGCATCTTGTTCTACTGCTATTAAAGACATTTCAACCACGACTGAAGATCTCCATTCAAGATGGCGCCTGGGGGAATCCTCGCGGGCTTGCTCGGTTCGTTGGCTTGCGTACTCGTCCTTTTGCACTTTGTTTTCGTCGTGGAAGATACTCAACCCTCACCATGGTACTCTTCCAAGACAAGCGCATATTCCGGTAGGTCACGGCAATCGAATGGGGAAGACGATGTGTTTCTCTTGGGTACTGGGAAGGCTGATATTACTGGGCAAGTCCCTCCGGTCAAGCGTCTATTCGGTTGTATTGGTGTTGCCAACTGACTAACAATTCCTTTTTATTTTTTATTTTTTGCCTCTGAAGACCTGTCGTGGAGCTCAACCTCATGGGTTACGCGGATATAAATCAAGTGGGAACCGGACTTCGACAGCGCATCTATTCCCGTGCCTTTATCGTGGGAAGCACCAAGAATCCTGATGAGCGTTTTGTATACCTCGTTCTCGATAATGCGATGGGTGACACTGCAATTAGACAAGGTATCTTGGACGGGCTTAGAGCTCTAGGTGGAGAGTACACTCGCTACGGAAAGATGAATGTTGCCGTTACAGGGACGCACTCACACGCGGGACCTGGAGCATGGTTGAACTACCTCCTACCACAGATTACAAGCTTGGGCTTTGATAAACAGAGCTATCGGGCAATTGTTGATGGCGCATTGTTATCTATCAAGAGAGCTCATGAGAACTTGGCTCCTGGCCGGCTGAGCTTTGGATCTATCGAAGTTGAGGACGGCGCTATTAACCGCAGCCCATCCGCATATATCGCGAATCCGGAGGAAGAAAAAAAACGTTACAATTCCGATGTTGACAAGACACTGACTCTCTTGAAATTCGACCGGATCGCCGATCAGAAAACTATCGGTATCCTTACCTTTTATCCTGTGCATGGAACATCGCTTTTCGGTAACAATACACTTATCGCTGGAGATAACAAGGGCGTTGCTGCGTACTTGTTTGAGAGAAGTGTTCAGGATGATGCGAAATATGCAGATGACTTTGTGGCCGGATTCTCGCAGTCTAACGTTGGAGACACGTCCCCCAACACCCTTGGAGCTTGGTGTGAGGATGGATCTGGTCTTCCGTGTACCTTCGTATGTTCACTATTTCTCCAGTACAATCATTCTAGCTTAAAAAGGCATACTGATATTATACAATAGAAAGAAAGCACTTGCGGTGGGAAAACCACAGCCTGCCATGGTCGTGGGCCCTATTTCCGCGAAATGGACCAAGGGGCAAAAAGCTGCTTTGAAAATGGTCGCCGACAGTATGCTGCAGCCAAAGATCTGGTTGCCAAAATGAACTCAACGGCCGTTACAATTCGTGGAGCCGATAATGTAGCCGCCTTCCATACATTCCAAGACTTTTCAAATTTTACTTTCACGTCTCCGCTTGATCCCAGTCGTGGCAACCTGAATACTTGCTACGCCTCCCTTGGCTTTTCGTTCGCCGCAGGCACCACCGATGGCCCTGGGGTGTTTGATTTCACCCAGAACGCAACGGATGGATCCACGAAAAACCCATTCTGGTATGTCGCAAGAGACCTCCTCCATGCCCCTTCGAAAGAGCAGAAGAAATGCCAAGAACCTAAAATCATCCTGCTTGACGTTGGCGGATCGAAATTGCCCTACGCCTGGTCTCCAAACATTGTAGACGTCCAGCTGTTCCGTGTAGGCCAAATGGTCATAATTGTGTCTCCAGGTGAAGCGAGTACAATGGCTGGCAGACGATGGAAAGAGGCTATCTCCAAATCAGCAACCGATGTTCTCGGGATCTCCGACCCTATCACCGTCTTGGGCGGTCCCGCAAATACCTATGTCCATTATATCACCACAGAAGAAGAATATGGTGTACAGCGTTACGAAGGAGCATCTACACTCCATGGACCCCATACCTTGGCTGCTCACATGAATCTAACCCTCACATATCTGCCATATCTCAAAGATTCGCCATCTAGAAAGAAGTTGCCGCCCTTCCCTGCGGGACCTAGCCCACCAATCCATACGGATATATCATATTCTTTCATAACTCCAGTTATCCACGACACCACGCCGATTCAAAAGAAATTTGGGGATGCTATCTCCTCTCCAGACAAGTCCAAAGCTTACAAACCAGGGGACACAGTTAGAACCAAGTTCATCGGCGCCAATCCACGGAATAACCTTAGGCTCGAGGGAACATATACTGCTGTTGAGTACTCAGCGCCAGGCTCGAGGAGCTGGGAGGTAGTTCGGGACGATTTCGACTGGACGTTAGTTTATCATTGGAAGCGCATCAATCCTGTCCTGGGCACCAGCGAGGTTACCGTTGAGTGGCTTATTGATGACGAGTTCTATTCTGTTGGGAACCCAAGAAAACTCAAGAGTGGGACCTATCGCATGAGATACTTCGGCGATTGGAAGAAGATAAACGGGGAGATCACACAATTTGAAGGAATTGGAGAAACCTTCCAGGTGCAGGTGTGAGAAAAAAAAAATTTTTTTCTTGGGTTTGCCGTATTGCATTTTAGGGAAAGAAGCAAATGAAGTAACCAACCAACTCCATGTCGGATTTTCTTTTCTTGTTGCTTTTTGCAATTTTTCTTTTCCCCCGCCTCCCTCATTTCTTTGTCCCCGAATTCCCCTTGTACAACATCAAATATAAATCAAATGAAGAAACATTTTTAAATCTATCTTCACGGCCTTTGCTGATCTGCATATCCCGATATCTCCTGGTCTATTCGGCTGCCGTCCGGGGACCTGTTATAAAAGGACCCGAATGCCTGCTATCACGCCTTCGCAAACGTTCGCATGACTTACGTAGGCGTGGTGCAGTATTTGCCTGCAGGAAATGACAAATGCAGGACGGAGTACGCTGGATAGTTCTTATTCCCCCAGGATCCGCAAATAAGGAAAGGCATTTTCATCCGATTCGAGCAGTAAATATGTATTTCCAACAGCTCTCATTCGATAACGGAAACCAACCCGTCGACGGCTTGTGTTAGTTTTATATTAACATGTTCTGTACCTTGCAGAGATCCGAGCTATCTCGCACTCTTATATCGCTCATCCAAGCCCAGTTGGCTGATCTGGCCACGGAAGAACGCAGAAACCAGAAGTATTTATCTCCGTATTAATTCATTCTCTCCAGATTCTTTTCTCATAATTCATTATTTTGCTTTGTTTCGTCGCAATCCTCTTTTATACCTGCTCTTTCATCCATCCCAACCCCCATTCCGCCAATCGGGTGATGCGTGCTGTGCCGCTGGTGCGCAACGTCTGCTCTTTGTCAACGCTCCCGTCGCCCCCGCGTCCCCCAACCATGCCTCCGTGCGACAGAGTGTACTTCCAACATAACCCACATCTTCTCTTTTGTGTTGCTCTCAAGTCGAAACACCTTTGCTTTATCTAGCTTCAGTTAATCCACTGTCATAAAAAATAACAGGGCCATAACTAACGCGGTATACCTCCCTCCACCACCCACACCATGGTCACATACTAACACGGTTATCACAGACTGGTTCATGGCGCCCACAAGAACAATGTCCAAGTCTTTCGCGCCCATACTTCATCCCCTCCCCCCTAGTTTAAAATCTAGGTCAAGGGAAGAAGAATGCGTCTTTGGCAGTTAGCTGTCGGCTCTCTCTCACAGGGACTTATAGGACTTGTGTTCTCCCACTGCATCTGGTCTTCGTTTCCCCCCCGGGCCTCTTGAAGATTAGATATTTTTCCTCTGCCACAGCTCCTCTGCCACAGCTCCTCTCTTCAGAGCTTATTATCCGTTTCATGGGCTTGTCATGAAATCTTGCTCTTTACTCTAGCTTTAGAGAACCTGTTCCTTACGTCTTTCTTTCCGCTTTAATCAGTCGTTTGTTCTTTTGCTATCTACCCAACACACTTGCTGAAACATTTCGTTAAATCCTTTCGCTTCCGGCATTTCACCATCCTTAAAACTACTTTTAACTGTATAGGCACGAGGCCGCATAAGTCCCGGCTCCTAATAGCGAGATACATCTGCTGGTTTCATTCTCCAAGATGCGTTTCGAAAATTGCGTCCTATGCTCTCTGACATTTGCAATCTTCGTCGCGGCCGGTCCCGTTCCTCAGCGTTCGCAATACCCCAACCTATCTCCATTGAGAAGTGCGACGAATGAAGTGAGCCCTCTCTCGCCTGGGGAAGTTTCTTCTGTTGCTGCAGCGCGTCAAGGACGTGCTCTATTTTTCAACATCAATGATGTCGTCGAGCAAAAACTAGCCGGAAACAATGAGGCCTGCGTGGTAATAAATCGCCCGCATCTGTCTACAACGATATGTTCGACTTTTGGAGCTCCACGATCTACGAGTCCTACCTTCCGCAGTACAGACATCCCGGTCGCTACAGCAGATGTACTGGTAGATGGGACTACCAGCATTACCAGCACACAAACTGTGACGGTTACTCGACAACCTCCACATACTAAACCTCCCTCGCCTCCTCCTGCTTCTTCACCTCCACCGCCACCACCACCACCACCTCCTCCTCCGCCTCCGCCTCCTTCTTCTTCACTTCCGCCTCCTCCGCCTCCTCCACCACCCCCTTCGAGTCCTAGTCCACGTGATGGAGGTGATGCTTCTAGGCGTCCCGCCATAATTTCTATCCCAGCTGTGTCCACGGAAATTGGCCCCGATCATCCTGGTACACAAGCTCTAGCTACGCGAGTGGACATGGCATCTACTCTAGCTATACCAACCGAGCCCATCAGGCCCACCAAAGCACCACACCCCCCGGCCGAAACAGGCCGACTATCTCCATTCCCATTCTCATTTCCCTGGTCCCTTCCGCTGCCCTGGTTTCTATTTCCGGGTACAAACCTAGATACAAACTCAATTGTGAACCCAGGTGGGAGCACTATCATACCGCAAGGCACAGAAGAGCCGCCTCAGGCGACGGGTACAACAACTACCATCCGCGTTACCAAGACCTTTGTGTCGACAGTAATCATGCCGGCGATCGACACTGCGCGTGCACCTGCTCCTGCACCTGCTCCCAAGCCCGCACCCGCACCTGCACCCGCACCTGCACCCGCGCCTTCACCCGAGCCTGCACCCGAGCCTGCACCCGAACCTGCACCCGCGCCCCCGGGAACCAACCAAAAAACTCCGCAACAGCCACCCCAGGAGCAACCACCTCGGCAAAACGTGAAAGGAGGCCAGATGATGACAACCACAGTATATATAACGGCATGCGGCCCCGCATACTCTCCAGAACCTGTCCAAGGAGAAAACCCTCCATCAGCTCAACCAGCACAACCCCCGCCAGTACAAGTAGCACCAACTCCAACTGAAGCACCGCCCCGAAAACATGCACCCCCAGCTCCACCTGCACAGGTGGCACCAACCCAGGCGCCTTCAAGGGAAGAACCACCGCCATCACCACCGCCGCCGCCGCCACCTCCCCCGGCTAACCAAGCGCCACCCAACAACCCTCCCCCAGCTAATGGTCCGGGTGGAGACGGCGAGCGAGGCGGCGGCGGACGCGGCGGCGGACGCGGCGGAGGTAACGGCGGTGGCCACCATGGCGAACCCGGTGGCGGACGCGGAGGGGGTGGACGAGGTCACGGCAAAGGCCGTCACGACGATGATGATAATGGCCGTCGCAAGGAAAAGACCTACGAGGATGTTCACCCTGTCACAGTAGGAGAGGATGGGGTGCTAAGGGACGGTGGCCGTGACCGTGACCGTGAGGGTGGAGGAGGGCTGGTCGGCGTCCTCACGCGGGCAGCGGATGAGTTATTACTTGGCTAATGCTAGAAAGGCGGAGGTTGTTTTTTCCGTACCGTTTATTGTGATGGTCTCTTACTCGGTTTTGAGGTGTTGTATTCTTTTTTTTCCGCTAGTGGGAGAGTGAATAGAATAATATTTTTGAAAAAAAGGAAGGGAGCTTAATATTAATATATGCCATGGTGGACATTGGTGGTTCGAAATATGTCTCTGTCCTGATAGGCATGGGTGTGGATTCGAGTTTACCTTTTCGGAAGGAGAAGTTATACATACATAAGATGCTATTCTATCCATTGGCAATATGAGAAGAACTGGTAGTCAATTACCCTTTTTTTTTCTCCCTCGAGTAGCCTCTATACATGTTCAGTCGGCGCCTCTCCACCTAGCGTGAGATATTAGGGGCCCTCAAGTTCCCCATACAACGGCTTTCTCTCGTGTAACTCGGTTTGAAGAAAATCGCATTATCATACAGACATTATTATGGTATCATATAGTTAATAACTACCCAACGAGGCCGGAAACAAACCAAAAGAAAAGAAAAGAAAGAAAAAAAAAAAAGGGGGGGGAAAGAAATGATATATCGGTATAGCGCGATTCATGAACAATAAATCAACCGGAACAAAACATACACCAAACATTATCCGTGCATAAATATCGTATTAGATGCTTTAAGTTCAACTGTAACTATCTTTAACTTTAACCTTCCACTCCGTGTCTACCGGAACCGAAACCGAAACGCCCGAAAGGAAAGCCGAAACCCAGAAAAATTGAAGATGGGGAGAGAGAAGAGATAGTACGGGCGTGTTTGATTGTCGAGAATATTATGGAAGAGTGCGATATTCACTATGACGTCCTGCCTCTGCGCGCTCGATGGCTATCCGCCGACGTCTCTCAAAATCGGCTGCCCATAGAGCCGAACCGGCGGCGGTGGTGAGAAGGAAAAACATGGAGAGCATGGGGATCAGTTGCAGGATTAAGGCAACTGTTCCGAACCTGTGGATGTATTTGATGTTAGGGGGGGGGGTTGGAGCAAGTGAATCTAGATTTCCGAGGGACTAACCATGTATACCGAATCCTCCTTTTTGCCACGAACTTCTTCCTTTCATTCTTATTAAACCCTCTTAATTCAAAATACCTCCAATGTTGCAACGGCCCCGCACGATAGCCTGCTAGGATCAGAAACATCGGTGTCCCAGCCACGGGCACAAAGTTAAGCGGCAGCAGAACGATAAACTCCACAATCTGCCGCACCGAGAAGGGCGCATATATGGCACTAGTAATCGGCTTACCCAGCCTTTGCATTGGATTTAGCGATAGAGCAGCATCCCCGCTGCCGTTCCCATCACCGTCGCCATCCCCGCCTTGACTCTGGTCTGCTCGAGGATGTATGGCCCGCGAGGTAGCGACCAGGTCTTCTTCACCCTGGCTTATTAGAACGGCATCAAAGACATCAACGAGCGTCTCATCGACGAAGAAGGCTTCGAAGAGTATTTGGACGATTGCGGCGCCTTCTCCCAGGACGAGGAAGAGTCCATTTACCCAGGCGCCGCTACCTTGGAAGATGGCGAGAAAGGCAACTTGTGGGAGATAGGTGAGGGTGAATAGGAGGGTATAAATGAAAGCAGAGAGGAGGGAGATGGAGAGTAGTCGTGCACGGAACAGAGGCCATAGGAAAGGATGGGAGATAAAGAATATTATGCCCTGGTTGTAAATAAAGTTGTTAGCAGTATACCTAGGCAGTAATCCAACGCCCAGGTGATAAAGCTGGGGGAGAGCTTGGGGATGGTGTTTACTCGTAAAGGATAGAGCCAAGATGCCTGACTCAGGCTAAAGAACGAAGCCATCAACTTTCTCTTTTTTTTTTTTTTTTTTCTTTCGCGTTAAGACATGAGTGAGTCGTCCATGACAGTTGGTCTTTGTATCTACTTTGCGATAGTTGGTTGATGCTATGTTCATCGTTCACGCAGTCGGCATCATCAACTATGACGGAGGTTGGAATAGACTGGACGTTTGCCAAGAAGGAACTCGGCTACTTTAGATCTAGCGCCATCTGATATCAATTTAAGGTTAAAAATCTTGGAGGATAACGTTGTTGTGTTGTATTGTAATCTAACTACGCGAGTTACACTAAATGAATAGGTTGGGGTGGCACGTGACTAGGGTAGGTGTAGTAATCACCAACACCCCCCCTTGCTACATCTTTTGAAAATGCAATAATAATTAATTACATTAATCAGACCCTGATTTCCTTATTAGGAAAGGCATTCATACAGTAATAACTGTAAAAATTAAGAAATACATACAAAATTCACTGATTCACTGTATTATTATTATCATTCAATTATTTCTTTTTAATCTCTTTCAAATCAATTCTTTTGATAAAATCTTCAAATGCAGGCTTTGTCAGTAACTTGATAAGTCTGTCAGCTATATTTACTGTAGAATTAATATGTTTTATCATGATTTCCTCTTTTTCAATTAAGTTGCAGAGAATATAATATCTAATCTTGATATAATGTGATCTTTGTATTAAGAATTCCTCCTTTACTAGATCAATTGCTCTCTTATTATCAACTTATAAATGCAAGTATATTTTTGCTTTTTCATCATTCATTAACTCAGTGTTATATAACATATTATTCAATCAGATTATCTCACAAGCTATCTTACTAACTGTAATATATTCAGCTTCTGTGATTGATTTGATAATAGATGTCTGTCTCTATAACTGTCATGAGATTAGTGACTCATTAATCAATATAACATAGTCAGTAGTTGATTTATATTGAGAATTCACTCTTACTCAGTTCAAATCACAGTATATTACAGAACTCAGGCCATCTTCTATCTTCTTCTTATACAATATATCATGGTTTTTCATCTTCTTGACATAATATAGAACATGCTTCAATGCTGCTCAACATGCTTTGTATGAATATAAGTTAAAATGTGAGAGATAGTTAACTGTGAATATCAGATCTGACTGACTGCTTGAGATTAAATACTGTAATAATCTCAATTCTTGATAATATCTCATAGCTGTAAAGTTATCATTCAATTCTCTTCTCTTATCAGGTGAGAATTTCAGTTATATATCAGCTGTTATTGAGATGTCAGCTGAATTTATCTTATTATCATGCTCCCGGCCGCGCCAAGGTTCTGTTGCGGTTCCACACAGCTCATTGATTTCATGCGGATGATTTCATCTTATTCAAACCAGTTTTCAATCACTCTATGATATTATTTAAATATATTATAGAAAGATCTGATTGATGAATATAAGAACCCTGCTTCTATATAAGATCAGTAGATTACTCTTTCTTGATAATAAGATGCTGCTGAGATATCACTCCAGCTATTCTTGCTTATAAAATGAGAGAAGAATATTCACTCATTATCTATATAGAATAGCTAGATGCTGGCTTCTTATTAAAGAAGTCAGTAATTCATTTTTCTTCTACTGAAATATATACAAGAGTTACTGCATATCTTATATAATCTTCTTAGTATACTAAGTATCACATCTGTGATATTCTCATAATAACTCTGTAGTCTATAAGCTCACTATTCAAGCAAGATAGTTAAGCTCACTTATACAGCTTCTCAAACAACTATCTCTACATGATATTAGTAACTAGTTATCACTTCAGCTTCATTATATTACAATTCAAATTACTTAACCTGATTATATGTTTGAATCAGTTGAGCTTTAACAGACTAATATAATCTTATACATCTATACTGAGACTGATCTGATCTCACTCTCTGAAGAAAACACTACATTATTCTCTAGAGTGTGTACATCTCTATCTCAGCAGAAATCTGAGATTTCTGAAATCACTGTATATTTTAACATAAGCTCTTCAACTGCTCTATTATCACTGCAGTCTCTACATATCTATATCTATTATGAAGATAGAGAGATTAAGATCAGAGATTCTTCAAGATATAAGAAAAATATCTTGTCTGAATTTCACAGCTTTATCTGTACTCTTGAACAGAAATTCCGCCTTAATCTGAGTCAGTATAATACTCATAAGATATAAGTAATATATATTATCAATCTTCTTGAAGATATCTCTGCAACTACTTGAGTCATTAAGAAGAGAAAGCTTAAGTATATCAATACTATTATAACTTGAAAAGAATTCAAGAACTTTCTACTGAATCAAATCAAAGATTACTGCAACTGCAGCTTTATAGTAGCACAGCAGTTCAACTTATTATATTAATAAGATAATGAGAATTCTTTCAATTTCAATATAAAATTTGAAGAATATTGAGAGAAATTGACTGATAATTTAAATCAATTAAAAACACAGCTTTATCTTATGAAGCTGACTTACAAGATGTGAATAATAATATTATAATATCAGAGTTCATTAATTAATTATACTGAGCTTGTTAATCTGACTTTCTGAATCTATTTGAATAATCAATTCTCTGAGAAAAAGATTAATAAAATCTCTTCTAAGTAACTGATAACAGAATCTAAACAGCACTGTGATAGCTTCAGTGTAGAGAAAGTAAAGAAGAATTCTAAGTATTCTAATTCTTCACTCACTGCAAAGAAATATCAAAAAAGATTTGATAAAGATCTCTATTTCAACTATAAAGCTGATAATCACTATATCAGTGATTATAAGAAGTCAAAGAAGAGAAGAAACTGAGAAAATATCTTCTTAAAGTTAACTTCTCTTCTGATAAATATATCTGTGAAAGATAAAGAAGAGAAAGAAATGAAGAATTAATAATTCTTATATCTTCAAGTTCATGTTATAATCACAATGCATATTTTAAATGAGAAGATATTAGTGAGATGTCTACTTGACTTCAGAGTAAATGTTAACTTCATATTCTATTTCTTTTCTTTGATAAAGAATTGAAAGAAGATAGATTCATCAGATTATGTGAAATTTACTGATAAAACAAAATATTATCATTTTAACATAATTCAAGTGAAGTGTGTGACTACAGACTCAGAAGAAATCTTCAAGAAAAGCAGTCTGCTTCTTCACACAGTTAATATTATAGATGAGAATATTATTCTAGATCTTCTGTAATTGAGAGAAAACAATTCTCTCATTGACTGAGTCACTTAGATGTGATGATATCATCTCACTGATGAAGAGACAGTGATAGAGAAATTTAAAGAGTTTCATCAGAAGAATCTTAAGAAAAAGATTGAGTTAATATACTGTGTAGCAGATGACTGAGACTTGAGAATAGGTGAAGAAGCTATCACTCTCACTGCAAGATTAGCAGCAGTATCTGTTATTAAAGACAGATATATACAACATCTCTTTACAGATTTTAAGAATGTCTTTTCAGAAAGAAAAGCAGCAAAGTTTCCTGATATCAAGATATAATATAAGATTCATCTTAAAGATGATATAATAGCACTGTACAGATCTCTTTATAACTTATCTGTAAAGAAATTGAATATTCTGCATAAATATCTTAAGAAAGTATAATCAAAGAACTGAATATATTTATCAAAGAGTTCAGCAGAAGTATCTATACTCTTTATACTTAAGAAGAATGATAGACTATGTCTATACATAGACTACAGAGACCTCAATAAGATGACAGTTAAGAATTACTATTCATTACTGTTAATTAACAAGATGATCAATTAATTATCTGAAGTAAAGATGTTCTCAAAGATTGATATACAGAATGTCTATCATAGAATCAGGGTTAATAAAGACAATGTTTGAAAAACAGCTTTTTATACTAAGTACAGCAATTTTGAATATCTTGTTTTATCTTTTGATCTTTGTAACACTTCAGTCATCTTTCAGATCTATATAAATAAGGCACTGTGAGGTCTTGTCAATGTCTTCTGCATAGTATATCTGAATAACATTCTAATCTTCTTAAAATCAGAGAAAGAATATGATACTCATATTCAAGAAGTGTTGAGTCACTTGAGACAGTATTAACTCTATATAAATACTGAAAAATGCTTATTCTACATGCAGGAGATTGATTTCTTAGATTATATTATTGAGATAAACAGCATTTCAATGAACAGAAGCTGAGTCTCTGTCATTGAGAACTGATCAGCATCATGAATGTATCACAAGATACAGATGTTTCTGAGATTTGTGAATTTCTATAGACAATTCATCTATACATATTCATAGATTACTGTCTCTCTTACAGATCTATTAAAGAGAAGTGTGAAAGATAGAAAAACAGAACTGTTTATTCTCACTCAAGACATTATACAGGTATTTGCAGAATTGAAACAAGCTTTCACAGATATTATAATACTGAATCACTTTAATCTCAACTTATTCAGTCAGTGTAAGACTGATGCATTCAAGAATGAGATCTGTGAAATCTTTTCACAGTTGACACTGAAGACCTTTCAACATTGAAAGAATCAGAGAATAATCACTTCTAAGAAAATAGATAATGAATTGTCTGTGAGAGAAGACTTTTTCACAGAGTCTATAAGACACTGTGAATGAAGATTAGTGATCTTCTTCTTCAAGAAGTTATCACTCACACAGAGAAGATATGATACTCATAATTAGAAGATGTTAGTAATTGTCAAATTCTTTAAGATCTAGTGACATTATCTTCAAAGTAGTAAGTACTCAGTGTAAGTTCTCACTGATCATGCAAATCTGCATTACTTCTTAACAACAAAGAGCTTGACAGAATATCAAGTCAGATGAGTGAAGCTGCTTTCAGAGTATAATTTCTATATCTGATACTGTTCAGATCAGCTTAATCTCACTAACACACTGTTTAAACAGTCTGATTATAATATTGTTAATACAGAGAAGAATTCTATAAAAGAATCTCTGTCATCACTGTAGAAGAAGTTAACTGCAGAGAGTTGAGATTCTCTGAAGCTCAGAAACAGCATTAGTAAGACAGCTATATAACTTAGTATAGAAGGTAAAAGAAAACTCAGATCTCTGCAGAGAACTGACACTGAAGATCATGAGCTTCTCATATTATATCTTACAATTATTGAATTGACAAAAAATGAAACAGTTTACAATCTTTCAACTCAACTACTTTTGAAATTCATTAATAAGTTATAGAAGAGAAACAT